TTAGGCTCCCCATGACAGCACCAGGCCCGAATCTCAGTGTTAGTCACACTAGCCAGCCAAAGTTCAGCGGCAGCGGAGGTCTCTGGGGGCCTCTCAGTGGCCTTGTGGCTAACCTAGCCCTCTCAGCCTAGTTCTCCAGTCCTGCCAGCATGTAACAAGGTGCCCCCAAACCTCTAGTATTTGCCACCTCTGCTTCAGCACCTGTCAAAGTGGAGTACTGCAAGCAAACAAGCCTTCTTCCTATGTGTTATTCTCGGCTGGAGTGCAGAGGACGTAGATGCCTCAATGCTGGGTTCCTACCCTATGACTCACAGTGAAGCAGAACACAGGTGAATAACATCACCTTCCACATATCCACTCACCTAGCCTTCCGGGGACTGAGCTCTGGGCTAGGTACCCTGCAAGCGCAAGTCATGGTATAGCTGGAATCGAATCAAAAGATAGCAAACAGGAAACCAATTTACCTTTTCTCTCCAGCCATGTCATCCAAGAGAAATCCTGCACAGTGAGACCAGCTTCTGCCCCAGTCCAGTTTCCAGCTAAGTCAGCCTCTCCCTCTTTCCTTGGGTCCTCCTGGCCACTCTGTGATGCTGGTCCCACATTGCGGTGAGGCGTGGTGAGGTCAGATGTTCTACGCACTTGTGGGACTCTGGACAGGATGATCAGTCTTGTCGACGTGACCAGCCCGTGAGCAGCGCCCTCCATTTTCACTGTCCTGCAAGATAAGACTGCCAGCTAATGTCAGAGGTGAAGGGTATAGAGCCATGTAGAGGCAAAGGAAGACCGGAACCTAGATCACTCTGACCTTGGAACTCATACTGGAAAACCATTTGGGCGAGGTGAGGATCCACCTCGCCTCATTGCTTGTTCTGGGCCTGATGTTCCCAGATGTTTGATGTGCCCCTCGCAGACACGGATGGATCTTAGTTAATTGTCCCAGCCGTGCTCTCCACAGGCTGCGTGGCCGGCTGTCTGGGCCACAGAGTCACAGAAGTATCCACAGAGGGGACTTACAGTGGAAGGAGGAGGAACGCACGCTGTAGAAGAAGTTGTTTAACAGCTAAATAGGCATCCGTATAGTAGGAAGAACTCTATGAGTGTTCTAAAGCTCTCAGAGTGCATGTTGTGACACAGTGACCAGAGTGGGGGGGGGTGTAACTGAGGTTGTGGTGGACAACTTGGGATGGTCATGGGGGTAAGGTGGCAGTGTTGATGGACGTGCTGCTGACGGTTGGTGATGTTGACGGAGTGATGGCGTGAGGGGAGCAACACTGGCTGTCGTTACGACGGTGCTGGTGATGGTGGAGGAGGCGGCGGTGGTGGTTACGGCAGTGACGGCTTGGAGTTGTCAGTGATCACGGCGCTGCTGCTTCAGGAAGCGGCAGTGGTGGTGATTATGATGGCGGCAGTGATGGTAGAGGAGGCGGTGATGGCTGTGGTAATCACCATTACCACCAGCGTGGTAGAGACAGGGGTGCCGGTTGTTAGCGGTTGGCAGTGTAAGTGACGACAGGGGTTACCATGTGAAGGAATTTGGTGAAGGTGGTGATGATAGTGACCATCATGAATGTGGCTATGGGAAAGGCATGAAAGTGGATGGAGCATGGTGTTAGGATAAAGCAGCAAGGGGCTGTGGTACCTTTGGCAGGCTTCTGCCAAGGTGTGCCACCGAGAAACTATGCCACACAACAGATCTGTGTAAGAGGTTTGTTGGGAAGGAGTAGAGCAAAAGGCCATCTTGGAGTGGGGACATGAGGAGAGAGAGGCAGACAGGGAGACAGAAAGACAAGGAGACAGAAAGAGAGTGAGAGAGTAAAAAGAAAGGAGGGGAATGAGATAAATGAGAGATGAGCGAGATCTAGGGATTGTAAGCTGCTGCTAGGTCTCTGAGGGCAGGCCGGTGGGGATGCCTGTTTGTAACACACGGGGCTCTGGGCTCAGGTGGGCCTGAGTTCAAATCCCAACTCAACATCCATCTTAGTTCATTTTTTGCAGCTGTAACAGAATGCCTGGACTGGGTAATTTACAAAGAAAGAGGATTGTTTAACTCATTGTTCTGGAGGCAGGGAATTCCCAGCTCTGATGGTTGTCACTGGTGAGGGTCTCGAATGTAGGATAATAATCTGGTGGTGTCACATGAAGGGGAGTACTCGTGAGGGTTGTGAGCAGGTGTGGGCGCAGGTGAAAAAAAAGAAAGAACTGGCCCACTTGTTTCTGGAAGCTTACACATTCTTCCAAGAACTGGTCAGCGTGGCAAGAAAGACAGCAATTGTTAGTGGCAAATGTTAGTGGCAATAAGCTACATCTCTTTGGGGGTCAAATGACCCTTTTCCAGGGGTCGCCTCAGACCATTGGAAAACACAGATTTCTACATTACGATTCATAACAGCAGCAAACTTAAGGTTATGAAGAAGCAATGAAAATAATGTTGTGGCTGGGCGGGGGGCACCACAACATGAGAAATTGTATGGAAAGAATGGAAGCGTTAGGAAGGTTGAGTACCACTGCACTAGGTGGAGGATCAGAAAATCTGTGACACTTCCCCCGCTCCTCAGCCGACAGCCCCAGCTGGAGTGGATGGGATGAGGTAGAGAGGGGACCTGCTTTGACTAATGGACATCAGCACTTGGTTCAGGCCCCTGTCACAGTGTTCCTCTCAGCCAGCCGAGCTCCTGCTTTCCTGAGGACACAAACCCGTTTGACCTGAAAATAGGGAAAATGTCATCTACTGCCTGATAACACAGAAGGCTCTTGATGTTGCTGGCCAGAGGCAAGGGCATGTCCAAGGTTATCAACTTTGTTTATCTTCATTGCAAGGAGTGGAGAGAGGAAGGGAAGGGGAGGAAAGGAGAAAGGGGAGAGGAGGAGAGAGTGAGAAGGAGCTGTTAAGAGGGCTTGGGATTTAATCAACAGCATTTAATATCAAATTAAATTCTGTGTGGCTTGTCAGCTACTCCCCCTACCTCAGACCTCAGGCTAGGATTTCGACCAATCCAAGCAGACCAAGGAATCTTCTAGAAGGGTAGAGGAAAGTCTACTGATGGATGTCATGGATGTCTTGGGACAACCAGGCAGTCAAAGCCTGCTGTGCAATGAGGCTGGCATGGAGGAGGCTGCTCTGGATTACCACCTGGACATTTGTTGAAATGCAGTCGAAGACCTGGGCCCAGGCTGCCCTTAGCTGGGCAGGAAATGGAAGGTGGAAAGTTCCACCTTCCATTTCCTGCCATGGGCAGAGAAAGGGACTTTGGGAGAAGTTTAGAGGTGGGAGATCTGCCAGCGACATGGGAGAAAAACAGATCTACCTGGCTGAGCAGAGAGCCATGTGGGGGTCGTGGGCTAAAATATTCAGGATGGATTAAATGAGCTAGCTGATTCGGGATGGCCAGTTAAACACTTAAGTTTTAAAGTTTTTATTTTTATTTTTTGAGACAGGGTTTCTCTGTGTATCCTTGACTGTCCTGGATTCACTTTGTAAACGTGGCTGGCCTTTAACTCACAGAGATCTGCCTGCCTCGGCCTCCCCGAGTGTCGAAAATACAGGCATGAGCCACTGCACCCAGCTGCCTTTAAATATTAATAAGCTTCTGTGTCATTATTTAAACTGCTGGCAGGCCTGAGAAGTCCCATCACACTGCTGGATTTTCATACTCAGTAATTGATCGTATCTTCAGCAAAGACAAGAGGAGATAGCACAGGCAGTGACTCGTCGGTTAAAAGCACTGGCTGCTCTTCCAGGAGACTTTTCCAGAAGAGTCCCACTATCTACACAGCATCTCTGCTCCAGAGATCCGATGCCCTCTTCTGGGCGCGTGCGCACCTGTATGCACAGACTTACATGCAGTAAAAACACATACATATATAATATAAAATGGAGACGGGGGGGGGGTAAAAAAAAGGCCAAAAACTGGCTTCCTAGTTCTCACCCCTGGGGGCTAAGAAAATCTACACCTACACTGTCTGTGTCAGGTGAGGGAAGGGTGAGGAAATCGCTCTCTTTGCTCATGAAGGCGAGGGAGGCAGCTGTCATCTGGCCTCCTAGAAGCATCTCCTGGGAAACCCAGGGCTTGCAGCATCCATGTGAGGCCATCTGTTCACGGATGAGTGAAGGAAGGAACAGATAGGACTCTTAGCTGTGGTTAGGAATAATACCCAGTTTTTTCCTTCACTAGACTCGGGCTTCAGGGCCATGTATTCTAGAGGCTCCACCTAGGCAGGAACACTCCACAGCTACCCAAGAGACAAGTGTCCCTCACATTACTAGGCACGCACGGCACCCGGACTGGGTCAGCATTGAGGAATGGCTAAGGATCCTGCCCGAAAGGGGCACTCAGCTCAAGGCAGGACAGACATTAGTGGTTCTCAACCTTCGTAATGCTGTGGCGCCTTAATACAGTTGCTCACGTTGTGGTACCGCCCAGCCGTAAAATTACTTTGTTGCTACTTCACTACTGTAATTTAGCTACTGTCGTAAATTGTATTATAAAGATCTGATACGCAATCCCCGTGAAAGGGTTATTGGACCGTATAGGGATCTCAACCTGCTCTAGCTCCATCTACCTGTCACTTGCATCTGCTTGGCCCACTTGCCTTGCCTCCTGACTAGAGAGACAACCCACCTGACAGTCTGGCAGCAGTCATTAGCGGCTGAGGAGCCCCGCAATGTGCTTGTGATGACTGGCCTGGATCAAACCTTCTGAGACTCATCTGGACATTAACCCCCCTGGCCCTCCCTGAAACCTCCACCCTGACAAGGCTGTAACTACAAACATCATCCACACCCGCCGGTCCTCTGTTACTGTGAGAAACGCCTGCCATAAGTTAGCTTGTAAAGAGAAAAGCCTGGGTCGTGGTTTTGGAGTTTTCACTCCCTGATAGATTAGCCTCATTGCTGTGGGTCTTTGGTGACACTCCTGGCAGAACGAGTGGCAGAGGGGACTGTTCAGTTGACGGCTGAGAACAAAAGAGGAAGAGACCCCGGGTACCTCGTAATTGGAGAACTTACCTCTCCTCCCTGCCATGAACTGAGCCGGCCTGCCTCTTTACCCTACTATCACCTTCCAATAGCGCCAAGCCGGAGACGGAGCCTTTAGCCTCTGAGGGGTATTCAGTTCCACCTTTAGACCACCCTATTGGAGGTAAAGGCCTCAGTGTATACTGAGTGGGAGTCATGGCAGAGTCCGAGGGACCCTTTAATCCTTTCGTTGGCTCCCTGCTACTCCCCTCCTTTCCCTGGCATCCTTAAAAAAAATCTTTGTCTCAGATCTTTCCTGTTGGGGACCTGGGCTAAGGTAGGCCTAGGATCCAATTAGTGACATGGGTACAAAGCCCAGGACCAACACCAGCCAGAAAACGATTCTTGGGGAAAGCCAGGGATGAGTGGGAGGATCTGGAAGGAAGAATCATCCTTTTGCTGATTCCTACCCAGCACCTCGCTTGGGAGCAAGGCTCTCAGTGTGGGTGGACTGTTTGGAGCACAGTACCCAAACCTTCCCTTAGTGAAACTTACACTCACATAGGTGGGGTCAAACCACAGAAAGACAGGGTGCGGGTGGGGCCGAGGAGATGGCTCAGTGGTCACAAGCACTCGTTGCTTTTGCAGAGGACCAGCGTTCAATTCTCACACCCACACCAAGCAGCCCACAGCTGTCTGTCTCTCTAGCTCCAGGGAATCCAACAGCTTCGTCTGGCCTCCAAGCGCACTTGGTGGCTGATGTCACCTCCTGCAGGCATACACATAGATAAAAGGACCTCTTTGCTTTTTAATGACAAAAGGATAAATGGGTGTGTAAATGGGTGCACGTCATGATGGATAGGGATTGGGGGCCACAGAGGAGACTTACACTGGGTGGGAAGATGAGGAGGACTGGATGGGAAGGCAGAAATAGTTGTGATGGAAAGGCTAGTGAGCAGATGTGGAAGGGAGTAAGGCGAGTGAGGGGCCTCCAGGTCCCTGCCCCCCCTCCCCCGAGCTGACAGCATGCCTGAAAACTCACCTGTGCTCTGGGCACTCCCTGGCAGCCAGTAGGGCTGGACGGTGACGAGAAGGGCTAGAGCGAAAGGACTTGGTCTCAAAGGGCCTCCTAAGCCACGTCAGGGCTGGAAATTTCTCCCCCTCTTCAGTTTCTATCTCTTTCTACCCTCTCTCTCTGCCTCCTTTTCATCTCATTTCCCCCTCTGAATACCCCCTGTGAGCGAGCAAGGCACTGTACGAGGTAGGGCCTTGGTGTGTAAAACGGGAGTAACGCTTTGTCCCCGCCCTCAAGAGCAGTTTAGAATGCACGATTATTCTAATGAGTGGGAGGGACAACACCATGACCATCCATCTGGGGCATCTGCTGGGATCCCAAGAAGAGGCTACGTTTTGAGACTCAGCTGGTGAGGCCGAGGACGAATTAGGGAGGGGCCAGGAGAACTTCTAGCAGGGTCAGGAGAAATGCCATAGCCGAGGAATGCTCGTGGGGCGGAGTTGGGTTGGACTGTCGTCAGAATGACACCAGGGAGGTCATGGTGAAGCCACAAACTGTTCCTGCCACTGTCAAGGACTGTGGCCAGCTGCAGAGAGCTGAATGCATGGGTGGGACTACAGCCAAGCCTGTGATTACTTATTAGTGACTGATTATAGCCTAGGCAAGAGGGCAGCTCTATTCCATTCCATCCCCATGGACTGGCTCCGGCCAAGAGTCTGACGGATCAATACGGTTGTGGGAATGAGAGGGAAGCCCCTGCTTCCCCGTGGGCAGTGGGAAAGACCACAAATGAAGTGCTGGGCACTGGGCTGAAGTAGGGAATGAGGTCTTCTGTCTCCTTCCCCTGACAAGATCACTGAGGTGCAGAGGCCCCAGAGAGAGACCTGGCATGAGGGCGCCAGGCTAGGAGGGCAGTAACTAGCAGCCAGTTTGTGGAGTAAGACTGCTCTTGTGGTCTAGATGTTCATGTCATTATGCTTTGGCTAAGATGTCCCCTCTGTCTCTGAGGCTAGTGTCCCAGCTGAGGGTGAAGGACAAAGGATGTGACATCAGAAGAGGCTGGCAAAGTGCCTCATCTCTCTCAAGTCACCCATTAGAAAATCTATAACAATTACAACAACAACAATATTAAGAACAACAACAGCTATTGGCTGCCGAGGGGGCGCAGCACACTGAGTAATGCCCGGGGCTCCCTACAAGATGAAGTACGTGCTTTCCTTGTTCAGTGCCTTCATCCTTTGCTCTTCTGCCTGCCATTGTCCTGCTGATTTGTGACATCATTAGTGCCGCTGTTGATAAACACCATGACCTTCGGAACAACCTGCAGAAAAGAGAACAAGGAAAGGCTGGGTATTAGGGAGAGAGAAAGGACTGAATGCAGGCAGTAGACATGAGAATTATGGACGTGAAATAGTCAGTGGCCACGAGTTATGCAAGACGATACGGAACAATTGTTTTTCCAGTTCTAATTCTGCCATGGATTTTTTTTTTTTTTTTAAATTTTGGATACTGGATAAGTACATAAGAATATATTCTATAGTGTAAAATCAAATTTTAAACCATACAGATTCTAAATGGCTACAGTAGAAGACTTTAAAAGACTTTGGGTCTGATTAATTTTGGTGTGTATGGTGGTTTAATTTTGGTGTGTGTGGTAGACACAGGTGCGCGAATACTTAGCCTATAAGGAGTGGCGCTTTTAAGAGGTGTGGCCTTGTTGGAGGAGGCGTGGCCTTGTTGAAGGGGGTGTGTCACTGGGGGGTGGGCTTTGCGGTCTCAAAAGCCCAGGCTCAGTAGCATAGCGGTTTTCTGCTGCCTGTGGGTCCAGACGTAGAACTCTCAGCTCCTACTCTGGTACCATGTCTGCCTGTGTACCACCAGGCTTCCTCCCATGACCCTAATGGTCTAAACCTCTGAACGGTAAGTCCCCCCAAATGAAATGTTTTCCTTTATTTGAGTTGCTGAAGTCGTGGTCGCTCTTCACAAGCAGCAAATCTAACTAAGACAGTGTGTGAATTTTTTTTTTTTTACTTGCAAGTTTTCCTTTATAATAAAGTTCATTCAAAACAGTTTTGAAATACCATAACCAAGACCACCAGTAGAATAAGGCGTTTATTTGGGCTTACAGTTCCAGCAGTATGAGAGTCCATCAAGGCAGGGAAGCATGGCTGCAAAGGCACAGCGGCAGGAGCAGGGAGATCTCAATCCAGCAAGCCTGCGGCTCTCAACCCCCGCCCCCAACAGCACCACCCACCAGGAGCCAAGTACCTGAACTCATTCAAATCCCCAAATACAGCAAAATCAGCATGGATTCTGAGCCGAGACAGAGGTGGTCCAAATCCCAGATTGATGCTGTGAACTCTGTGCCTCAGTTTCCTCGTCTGCAAACCGAGGTTGAAGATGGCTGTCTGTAGGAGTTGTGAGCATTCATGAGATGAGCTGTGTAGTCAGGGAGTGTTGAGTGTTGATGCAGGAAAGGGGAGGGGAAGAGGTGTGGGAGACTTGGTTTCAGGCCGGGTGAAGCTGGCTCTGCCGCTTTGACTTATCATTGTTCCCAATGTCCGCTTCTCTGCTCAACCTCCCACCAGTCAGGGCTCTGTAAAGGAGAGTGCCCAGAAAGATTCAGCACCTCCCACTCACTCTTGTGACTGCTTTTAAGTGATTAAAACTTTAGTGATTATGGAGAGGTTGGAACGTTACAGACCCAGAGCTTAGTAACAATTATCTTTAGCTTCACAAACAGCCATTCCTTGTCCACCCCTGCCTCAGTCCTACCCATGACCAACATCCTGTGACTAACAGATAAAACCTTCCAGAATGTATTAAAAAAACAAAACAACAACAACGACAAAAACAAAACAAAACAAAACAAAAAAACCCAGAGCAACCTGTTTTCCAGCTAACATAAGACTAAGACAGAAAAGCACCAGACAGTATCCAGGCCTACAGCAGAGGTTTCTCAGATTTGCTGTAGCCACCTGATGTGCTTAAAAAGTGTCTTGATTTATGATTTTTCTTTGTTGTCACCGTAGAAACTTCATCAGACCATTAGCATGGTGGAACACAGAATTTGCGGTGACAATCACTCATATTCGGCTCCAGAACAAGCTCTGATCCCCTTTGGGGTGAAAGCTGTGTTTTTTTGCCTTGTATTTTCTTTTCTTTTTTATTAATTATGATTTATTCACTTTGTATCCCAGCTGTAGTCCCCTTCCAATCCCACCCTCTCTTCCTCTTCTCCTCCCATGCCCCTCCCTAAGTCCACTGATGGGGTGGGGTCCTCCTCCCCTTCCCTCTGACCCTAGCCTATCAGGTATCTTCAGGACTGGCTGCATTGTCTTCCTCTGTGGCCTGGTAAGGCTGTTCCCCCATCAGGGGGAGGTGATCAGAAAGCCAGCCACTGAGTTCATGTCAGAGACAGCCCCTATTCCCCTATCCCCCTTACTAGGGAACCCACTTAGCTGCCATGGGCTACATCTGTTCAGGGGTTCTAGGTTATCTCCATGCACGGTCCTTGGTTGGAGTATCAGTCTCAGAAAAGACTCCTGTGCCCAGATTTTTTGGTTCTGTTGCTCTTCCTGTGGAACTCCTGTCCCCTCCAGGTCTTTCCACTCCTCCTTCTTTCATAAGATTCTCTGCACTCTGCCCAAAGTTTGGCTATGAGTCTCAGCATCTGCTTTGATATTCTGCTGGGTAGAGTCTTTCAGAGGCCCTCTGTGGTAGGCTCCTGTCCTGTTCCCTGTTCTTCCTCTTCCGATGTCTGTCCTATTTGCCTTTCTGAATGAGGATTGATCCCTCAGATTTCACCTTACGTCCGTCCATCAGAATGGCTAAGATCAAAAACTCAAGTGACAATACATGCCGGAGAGGATGTGGAGAAAGGGGAACCCTCCTACATTGCTGGTGGGAATGTAAACTTGTATAACCACTTTGGAAATCAATCTGGTGCTTTCTCAGAAAATTAGGAATAGTGCTACCTCAAGATCCAGCTATACCACTCCTAGGCATGTATCCAAAAGATGCTCAAGGACATTTGCTCAACCATGTTAGTAGCAGCTCGATTCGTAATAGCCAGAATCTGGAAACAACCCAGATGTCCCTCAACGGAGGAATGGATACAGAAATTGTGGCACATTTGCACAATGGAATACTACTCAGCAATTAAAAACAAGGAAATCATGAAATTTGCAGGCAAATGGTGGGAACTAGAAAAAATCATCTTGAGTGAGGTATCCCAGAAGCAGAAAGACACACACGGTATATACTCACCCATAAGTGGATATTAGACATATAATATAGGATAAACATTCTAAAATCTATACACCTAAAGAAGCTAAGCAAGAAAGGGGACCCTGGGTAAGATGATCAATCCTCACTCAGAATTGCCTTGTATTTTCACGCTGACCATTATGGTGCTATCATGGGGGTGTTCTAGAGGGGTCATGTAGATGGAAACGAAGTAGTGAGAACTGTAGAGTCCAGAGCCTTCTGGCTTTATCCTTTCAGGTGGATTTTTTTTTTAATCTATCTTGTTTATTTGCTTTCCACGCATTTTAGTTTCTGACATTCGATTTGTTTTTTGTTTGCTCTTAGACCTCTGAAGGCATTTTGGGCTATTAGGCATGTTAGCGGTCCCTTTTAATTTTCTTTTTTCCCTCTAGACAGTCCTCCAAGTTTAATATAAAAAAGGGGAATTTTTTTATATATATAAATGTATGGTACTCCACCTGGTTCTGTGTTTGATTGGTTGTGTTAATTCAATCTGCAAGTGGTAAAAAAAAAAAAAGTGTAAGAGCTAAAGGTAAGTTGACTTGTGCCTCTCTCGATGGGGAGCATTTATTACCTCTAAATTGGTTTTATTTTGCATGTTTAACTAAAAGTCCTAGGCAATCCTTTTTAAAAAATCACAATTGGGCAGGCCTGCTTTAACTGGCAATGCAAAATAATCTAAAAACAATAGAATTGGTAATTTACAAAATTAAGAGCTCTAAAATCTACATGTGTATTACAAGGAGAGACTCAAAATAACTATGAAGAGCCAGAGAGCTGGCTCAGTGGTTTGGAGCACTTTCTGCTCTTGCAGAGGACCCTGTTCTGTTCCCAGCACCCACACCAGGAGGCTAATAACCACCTCT